GAAGGAAAAAGGGTTAGGGTTTAGTACTGCCTCTTTGGCCCTATTTCTAGGGGTGGGGGATAGATTTTCATGGGTGTAAGGCACAAACCAACAATGCCCTCAGATGTCCTTTAAAAAAAAAAAAAAAGACTGCTGAGATAAAACAGCTAGACTTACCTTAAAGCCCTGATATTAAGAAATCCCTGGTGCAAGAGGTTTTGGTTTCAGGAAGTCTCAGTGCTGACAGGCAAATTTCAACATTTCAAGTTGCTGAAATTAGGCTAACTTGCTGGAAATCTGAAGTGCCTTGTGGACTTCAGCCCTGCCCAAGTCTGCATTAGGAAAGCTGCTCCAGTTAGAACAGTGCTTGCTAGTCTTGAGATCTCTCCTCTATACTTATGGGGGTAGGAAGGGAAGAAACATGGGGCAAGGGAGGGGGAGACCAGAGGGATCAACATCACTCTTGGGGCAGCGTTCAGGATCTGCTTTTTTGCAATTGAGGCTCTGGACAGGCAATTATTGCAGGTTCTCCTTAATATGTATGTTCAAGACTGTTAAGTCACAGCTGGGCACGGTGGCTCACGCCTGTAATCCCAGCAGCTCAGGATGCTGGGGCAGGAGGATTACAAAAGTTCAAAGCCAGTCTTAGCAACGGTTGGGTGCTGAGCAACTCAGTAAGACCCTATCTCTAAATAAAATACAATAGGGCTGGAGATGTGGCTCAGTGGTCAAGTGCCCCTGAGTTCAATCCCTGGTATCTCCCCCAAAAAAGAATTGTAAGCCAAGACTGTAAGCCACAATTGCAGAAGCTGTGCCACACTTTTATATTGATAATTCCCTTCCAGTCTGAGGATAGGATAGTCTATTTAGAGCCAGAAATGAGGTCAAAAGTTGGGTGTTAGGGCTGGGGTCATAGTGCAATGGTAGAGCTCTTGCCTAGCATGTGTGAGGCACTGGGTTTGATTCTCAGCCCTGCATATAAATAAATAAAATAAAGGTTCATTGAAACTTAGAAAAAGAAAAAAAATTTGGGTTTCATAGCCCTAATCAAGGCAGGGTTGCTACAGGAAATCCTCGCAGTTTAGCTCTGCCATCTTCCCAGATCTATTCTAGATACTAAACGGTAGTGCATACAACAACTTGAAAAAGCCACCGAAAGGGGGCAGACAAGCTTACTTAAGCCACAAAAGCAAAGGTCTCCCACAATATTGGTAGCAAAATTACTTGGAGAACTTGCTAGAAAGGTAAATCTCCGGAACTATTCACCTCCAAGAGCTGGGCAACTAGAGGTACACGACATGTTGGGGGAAAGTGGAGTAGGGTGGAGAAGCGATGGATTCTACTTGAGGCAGAAAAGAGGGAAAAGAAAAAAGAATCAGAGCTGAAAAAGAAAAAAGCTTTGGGAAAACGAGCATGGCAGTGAGCAGATGCACAAAAGCACAAAACTATAAAATGAAAACATAGTTCATGGTATTGGGTAGAACATGGCTCTCAGATTGCCAGGCATGCAACCTCACTAAGAAAGCGAGATGGCACAAAGATTCATCAACCCTGGCTTTCCTGGAGTCTCTGCTTTCAAGTTGGCCTGACAAAATTCTCAGAAAATTCCAGACCATCAGGCTGGGAAAATGGGCCAACATCCAAAAAAGAATGGCTGCAAGACAGGTATGTGTCTGCAACACTGCATTATCTTAGGTGATTATTTGCTCTTAGTGTCTCTTCCCATTTTGTAATTGGATTTTCTGATCTCAGAAAATACATCCATTCCAGCATGCCCATTTCCTTATTTCTTATTCCCTTCCCTTACCACTACTATAGCATTTAGCTGAGGGTAGGATACTTTCTCTGGGCTTCTAGAAGTCACAGTAGCAGTGACCAACCCTTGGGGTCTTGACAGTATTAAATTTTGTGTTCTGATCCAGTTGACCCATATCTGTGGATTAATTCACAGATTAGGTTACACCTCTCATAACAAAATTTCACTTCTGAAAATTCTTGTGTTGTTTCACACATGAGCTTTGGGGCATACCTCATATCTAAGGCACAATAGTATCTTCATTTCTTGTTCCTCAGTTCCAGTCAGCCTCCTGAGGCTGTCATCAGATCATTTGTTTACTCAGCCTACTTAGGTCTCATGATTTTTGTCTGCATCCTCAATGCTATTATTTGTTTACAAGGACATGAAACATACATCTTATCCTATCTCTTGTATTGTGTCCCTCTTTTGGGGGAGGAGAATACTGGGGATTGAACCCAGGGCCTTGTGCATGCTAACCACATGTTAGACCACTGAGCTACACCCTTAATCTATTGTGTCCTTTTAATGCCCTCCCCATTTATGGTACTGGGGATCAAACCCAGTGTTTTACCACTGAGCTACATTTCCTTATTCATTTTTCATATAGTCTTGCTAAATTGCTGAGGCTGGCCTTGAACTTTTGATCCTCCAGCCTGAGCCTCCCAGATCACTGAGATTACAGGCTTGCACAACCAAGCCTAGCAATGCCCTTATCTTACCTGGACTTTGACTTCTTTTTATACTTCTGTTCCATGCATCCTTTTCCTGTAAATCTATCAGGAGAACTCAAAAAGATGAATATCCAGTCCAACTTATTTTCTTGATAAAAAAGTGAAACTATATTTAATAAAATATTTAGATCTAACTTAGCCCCCCCCTCACACCTTTTAAAAGTATTTTTTTAGCTGTAGGTGGACACATATCTTTATTTTTTATTTTTATGTGGTGCTAAGGATCGAACTGAGTGCCTCATGCATGCTAGGCAAGTGCTCTACTTCTGAGCCACAACTCCAGCTCTTTATTTTTATGTGGGGTTGAGGATCAAACCCAGTACCTCACCCACACTAGGCAAGCACTCTACTACTGAGCCACAACCCCTACCCCCATCCCAGCTCTTTTTATTTTGAGACAGGACAGGGTCTCTCTCCCTAAATTGCTTGGGTTTTGCTTACTTGCTGAGACTAGTCTCAAACCTGTGATCCTCCTACCTCAGTCTCTGTAGTCCCTGGGATTACAGGTTTTTGCCACCACACCTTGTGGATTGGGATTTATTAATATAGTATTTTTGATTTATTTAATGCTGTTTTGGATCAAAAAGGCATTTCCCAAAATGTTTTTGTATAAAAAATGTAACTTTCTTTACAATAATTTATGAAGATAATATTGTGGCAAAAAGAATAAAACACATGGGGCTGGGATGGTGGCTCAGTGGTAGAGAGCTCATCTAGCACATGCGAGGCCCTGAGTTTAATCCTCAGCACTACATAAAAATACATAAATAAAATAAAGGTATTGTTTCCAACTACTTCCAAAAAATAAAAAATGTTAAAAAAAGAATAAAACACATAAATTATGATTTATTAAAACAAATGAAGTAAAACTGTAAATATTCCAAAGAAAAGGAAGAGTATTTAGAATGAATTTAGGCAAATCTATTTTGATTATTAATCCAAAGAACAGATTTCAAATGCTATTATTCAATGAATATACCACCACCCCTTTTATTTTGGGTGCTGGGGATTAAACCCAGGGCTTTGTGCATCCAAGACAAGCACTCTACCAACTGAGCTATATCCCCAGCCCAATGAATATACCTTCTTAAGTATAAATACCTTCAAGAACACTATGTTGTCTGTAAAAAATGATAAACAGCTCTGAATCAATAAAAGAATTTAAGTTTTCTAAATGCTACAAAAAGTTCTATTGGGGGGGGGCAGGGTAATAGGAATTGAACCCAGGAGTGTTTAACCACTGAGCCAAAGTCTTGCTAAGTTGCTCAGGGCCTTGCTAAGTTGTAAAGCTGGAACTTGCAACCCTCCTGCCTCTGCCTCCCTAGTTGCTGGGATTACAGGTAACAACCACGGTGCTCAGCACAACTTTTTAATTAGTAAAGCAAAGCAACATTTATTTTTGAAATTTCATTTTTAAAGGTAATGCATATGCTAAATAGAGAAATGTAAGGTCTGCAGATATAGCTCAATGGTAAAGATCTTGCCTAGCATGCTTGAGGCCCTGGGTTCTATCTCTAGTGTTGTCAAAAAACAACCAAACAAGCAAACAAAACCAGCAGCAATTACAACAACAACAACAAAAAAAAAAAAAAAAAAAAAAAGAGAGAGAGAGGTAAAAGAGAAAAGAGAAATACAAAAAGAGAGGCTGGGCTTAGTGGCACACACCAGCAACTTAGGAGGCTAAGGCAGGAGGATCTCAACAATTTAGTGAGATCTTTTCTCAAAATAAAAAATGTGCAGGTGCGGTGATGCACGCCTATAATCCCAGAGGCTCGGGAGGCTGAACCAGGAGGATCAAAGCCAGACTCAGCAAGTTAGTGAGGTGTTAAGCAACTCAGTGAGAACCTATCTCTAAATAAAATATAAAATAGGGCTGGGGATGTGGTTCAATGGTTGAGCACCCCTGGGTTCATCCTCAGTACAAAAAATAAAAATGACTTGGGAAATCCAGGCAGGAGGATTGCAAGTCCAAGGCCTGCCTAAGTAATTTAGTGAGGCCCTAAGCAACTTAACAAGACCTTGTCTCAAAATAAGAATGGGCTGGGGATATAGCTCAGTGGTAAAAGCAAACTTGGCTCAATTCTCAGTACCAAAAAATAAAAATAAAAACTAAACAATCCCTAATATCAAAAAACAAAAAGTAACAATAATAATAAAAAAAAAAAAAAAAAAAGGAGAGAGAAGTCGGGGAAGAGAGGGAGATAGGACAACCAAAATCTACATGGGTTGGGGTTGTAGCTCAGTGGTAGAGTGCTTGCCTCACATGTGTGGGGCACTGGGTTCAATCCTCAGCACCACCACATAAATAAATAAAATAAAGGTATTGTGTCCATCTACAACCAAAAATATTTTTTAAAAAATCCTACTACAGGGCTGGGGATAACTCAGGTTGCTAGAGTGCTTGCCTAGCATGCACAAGGTCCTGGGTTTAATCCCCAGCACCACCAAAAACAAACAAATAATAATAAATGAAGGAGTCAAGTCTTTTTTTTAAATATTTATTCTTAAGTTTGTGGTGGACACAATATCTTTATTTTACATTTATGTGGTGTTGAGGATTGAACGCAGTGACTCATGCATGCTAGGTGAGCACTCTACCACTGAGCCACAACCCCATCCCCAAGTCTTTTTTTTTTTTTAGTTGTAGATTGTCACAATGTCTTCATTTTTATGTGGGGCAGAGGATCCAACCCAGGGCCTCACGTGTGTGAAGCAAGCGCTCTACTATTGAGCTACAACCCCAGCCCAGAAGGAGTCAAGTCTTAAAAAAAAAAAAATCCTGCTACAAATAATCACAACTGTTGACACTTATACATTTTTCTACTATTTTGGTTGATAAACAAATGCATATGACTCGGGGTTGTGGCTCAGAGGTAGAATACTTGCCGGGCCTGTGTGAGACCTCGGGTTCCATCCTTAACATGGTAACAAAACCCAAAACTACATGTATAAATGAACCTAAGTATTCCAAATAAGAAGTGGGACTATCAAGAATGTTGAAAATGTCCACATTAAACAGAAGTTGGACCAAATGTCTTCTCTCCCAAAGCTAAGATTTTTGGACACCTTTAGAATATGTCTGTCACAGGCTGGGGTTGTGGCTCAGAGGTAGAGTGCTCGCCTACCATGCATGAGGCACTGGGTTTGATCCTCAGCATCACATAAAAATAAAATCAAGATACTGTTATAACTAAAAATAAATATTTTAAAAAAAAGAATATGTCTGTCACTTTAATAATCACATATAAAACAGATTCCATAATATAGGGTTAATTCAAGCCCAAAAATTGCAGCATTAGAATGGTTTCAAAAACACTGAAATATATTTCACTTGAAATCTGCCAAAACAGATTTTTTATTAGATCATGGTGAGATTCTTCTCAAGTTGTAGAACAGTTTCCTTGAGGGCAGAATCCTCTGCCCAGTTAGCTTTACTTCCTAAAATGAGGTTCTATAATAAGAAAAAAAAATTTTTTTTAAGTTATAGGTACTTTTAAACATTTAATAAAATTAAAAAAAAATCTTTTCACTATCTTATCTATTGAACATTATTTGGTATATAGCTCTGTGATCATGAGGAAAAATGGTAGTACATTCTTGTGTCTTTATTCCTATCTTCAGTAGGGCTGCCTTGATTCCTATAATGCTAGACGAAAATTACAATGCATAAGCTTTTACTTGTTAAGGATACTTGTAATGCTATCCTAGACTGGAGGAAAAAGACCTCGGATGTGGTTCAGAGTTTTTTGTACCAGTATGGTGAAAGGCAATAACTTACCCATAAGTAATAAGCCTTATTTTCAAAAGAGATAAAAGACCTAGTTCTCAGCCCTTGAAATGTTTCAAGACTCTCTAAAAAGTTAACAATATTTTTGTGGTAGATAAGAGGCATGATTAGGATCATATTCAATAAAAATTCTGGTTGTTTTTCTTTGAAAAACTATGGCTCAATGATCCAGAGTTATTGACCATCCTCAGCTCTAGTACTGAATTATTTATTAGGATCAAAAACTAAATAAAATAAGCCAACACTATAAAAATATTATTTACACCTTCTCTCCTAATTTATATAAATGTTACCTGGAACACATGTTGAATAACTGTAGTAATTTGTATCTCTTTCTGTAGGTTTTTTTGCATGGCCTTTATCTTGTCTGAATTTTCCACATTGTCCAGATCTTCTTTCTGCTTGTTCTTTTCTGTCTGTATTTCTAAAAGCTTACTTTCTGAAGCTTGTTTTAATTCTATTAGGTAAAAATAAAACAACATACTATATATGATGACGATTCTATAAACAAAGATCTCAGAAATTATGAAGTAGAATATTTCCTTGTTATTCTACACAAAAGAAAAAGTTTAATAAACAGCATTTTAGGCTACAGTTCTATTTTGATCTGAAAATGACTTCACTGGTACAAAATAACAGTATTTTAAATTAGTTTTTTTTGGCAGTACTGGGGATTGAGCTCAGGTCCTCTTGCATGCTAGGAAAGTAATCTCTACAACTGAGCTACGTCCACTATCCCCTACCCTTTTTTGGGTGGGGGATTGAGCCCAGGGTGCTTAACTACTAAGTCACATTCCCAGCTCTTTTTATTTTAAGACAGGGTCTTGCTAAATTGCTGAGGCTGGCCTTGAACTTGTGATCCTCCTGCCTCACCCTCGCAAATTACGAGGATTATAGGTGTGTGCCACCTTGTCTGGTACCTGTACATTTTTTACTTTTGAGACAGGGGTTGAATAAATTACCCAGGGCGACCTGGAATTTGTGATCCTCCTGCTTCAGCCTCTAAAGTAGTTGGGATTACTGGCATGGTCTATCACGCCCAGCAATATTTTAATTTTGTTGAACAATGTCCTCAGTGAAATGTTCAAAATATTTATGTACAACAATAACAGCTGTCATTTGAAGTGGCATGATGTAAAAGAGAACTTACTCTAGGTTGTCAACATAGGCAGGCGATACCTATAAATAAAAGCAAATACTTTTTCCCCTTTAATTACATAAATGACACATAAGCTAAATTTTAAATAAAAAATAAGATCTCCTTCTCTAGGGACAAATATCACGGACAATATTTTTGTATATCCCCCAAAAGTTCTGAGAATTAAACTACCAATTTGAAAGTATAAATGGGTATATCTCAAAGGGCTTAATCTTTGACATTAATGAAATAAAAGCAGGTTAGAATGCAATGAAAAAGAAAATGAAACATCAACAGGGTGATCAGAATAGATGACCAAGATACCCGACTAGGAGGCAAATCTATATAATGTTTAAAAATAAGACATCAGTCCTATATGTTGGTAAATGAAAAAAAGTTTACAGTAGAAAAAAGAATGATGCCAATTTAAAAAAAAAATATATGCATTGGGGCCAGGGTTGTGGCTCAGTGGTAGAGCACTTACCTAGCACGTGTGAGACACTGGGTTCAATCCCCAGCACCACATAAAAATAAACAAATAAAATAAAGGTATTTTTTCCATCTATAACTAAAAAAAAATATTAAAAAAAGAAATATGCATTAAAGATTATTTTTAGAGAGAGAGAGAGAGAGAGAGAGAGAGAGAGAGAGAGAATTTTTAACATTTATTTTTCAATTTTCGGCAGACACAACATTTTTGTTTGTATGTGGTGCTGAGTATCGAACCTGGGCCGCACGCATGCCAGGCAAGCGCGCTACTGCTTGAGCCACATCCCCAGCCGTGCATTAAAGATTACCTCTTGATGATTGAGGGAAAAAAAAATTAACCTTTTCTATATATATTTACCTTTTTCTAAATTTTCTATAGAGAATGTATATTACTTTTGAAATAAACATTTTAATAGTTTCAATGCAAAAAGCTACCTCATGTCATCATAAATTAAGTGAAAGGCTATAGAACCATATGTATCAACTGTTTAATTAGAAATTATCTATATTTTGGGGGCTGGGGTTATGGCTCAGCAGTAGAGCATTTGCCTTGCATGTGTTAGGTACTGGGTTCAATTCTCAGCACCACATATAAATAAATGAATAAAATAAAGGTCCATCAACAACTAAAAAAAAATAATAATATATATTTTTATCCCTCAGTACTGGGGATTGAATCTGGGGTACTCTACCACTGAGCTATATTCCCCTATCCCTAATCCTTTTTATTTTTTCTTTTGAGACAGAGTCTCAATAAAGTTGCCCAGGCTGGCCTTGAATTTGTGATCCTCCTGCCACAGCCTCCTGAGTAGCTGGGATTATAGACAAGTTCCACTGGGCTTAGCATATATAACTATTTTCTATGGGCCTGAAAGAAGATCTCTAATGACATGTATCAGACTGAGACCACATGGGAAGGAAGCATGACTTTTGCATTATAATTTTCTGTATCATTTGATTTCCCCCCACTGAGACTGTATTAATTTTTATGATTTAAAGTTCTAAACCACAAGAATAAAAAAGCAAATATATTTCATATTTTTAAAATTTCCACATTCAAAATTTTAAAAATTAAAAAATTTCTCAGTAGCTGAGAGATCTGGCCTTAACAATTTCCCAAACAGGTAAAAATGTGTTCTATCAAAACAACAAAAAGTATTCTACATACGTAATCTCTTCTTTCTAACATCAAGCAGTTTTTCCTCTAATTCCCAAGATTCCTGTTATTAAAATAAACAGATTAAAGCATATTATTTAAGAATAAATCTAGAATACTTAAATAATTGAATTTCATCTATCCAGGTTTTCTAAAGTTTCCATTTTCAATTCTTCTACTTCATACAACAAAAGGGAGAAGATAGTAGTTTAAATTATATGTTGATCATTTGTTGGCAATAAGAGTTATGAAAAAGGGGCTGGCGTTGTGGCTCAGCGGTAGAGCGGTAGAGCACTTGCCTAGCATGTGCAAGGCCCTAGGTTGGATCCTCAGCACCATATAAAAATAAATAAATAAAGTGTCCAACTACAACTAAAAAAAAATGTTAAAAAAAAAAAAAAGAGTTTTTTTAAAAACTAATTAAACCCAATGGTGCTTAACCACTGAGCCACATCCCCAGCCCTTTTTTATATTTTATTTAGAAACAGGGTCTTGCTAAGTTGCTTAGGGCCTTGGTAAGTTGCTGAGGATGGCTTTGAACTTGTGATTCTCCTGCTTCAGCCTCCTGAGCCACTGGGATTACAGTGTGCACCTACCAAGCCCAGCTTTCTTTGGGCAATCTTTTATTATTATTATTTTTATTTTTTAGTTTTAGATGAACACAATATCTTTATTTTATTTATTTATTTTTATGTGGTGCTAAGGATCAAACCCAGTGCCTCACGCATGTGAGGCAAGTGCTCTACCAATGAGCTATAACCCAGCCCTCTTTGGGCAATCCTTTTTTTTTTTTTTTAAATATTTATTTTTTAGGTGTAGATGGACACAACACAATGCCTTTATTTTTTTATGTGGTGCTGAGGATGGAACCCGGGTCCCGCCCATGCTAGGCAAGCACTCTCCTGCTGAGCCACAATCCCAGCCCCCAATCTTTTTTAAACATATGATACAGTTATCAGCAAAAAGTTGTCTCTGAAAACATGAGAATGCATAGTAGCCCAATGTGCAAGTTTACCTGCTGTGATTTCATTATTAACTTATTCAGCTTTAATATGTGTTTCATGTTATCCATGAGCACACTGCAAAGGAATAAAAATATGATTATATTTAACTAAAAATAATAAATATATCTCATTAATGAAGGCATCAATTAGTGTATATTTACTTTTATTGAATCCCCTACTCCTTAGTAGAAAGCCATTACTTACAAATCTGGAAAAGTTTGATGTAAATTAAATTTCTTAAAATTATGGATGCGTTCCCTAGAAAAAACTGTGGTCCCAGATAAGAAAGAATATTGAATTAAAGAATGAATATTTCTAGGGCTGGGGATGTGGCTCAAGCAGTAGCGTGCTCGCCTGCCATTCATGAGGCCTGGGTTCGATCCTCAACGCCTCATACAAACAAAGATGTTGTGTCTGCCGAAAACTACAAAAAATAAATATTAAAATTCTCTAAAAAAATTTTTTAAAAAAAGAATGAATATTTCTAAGTATTCCATATTTAGGAAGAAAAAGACTTATACTTTGCATACTCTGTCCCCACACATACTCAGCCTCCCCACCACCAGGTGGTGCATTTGTCACAATTAATAAAACTGCACTGATACCTCATCTTTAACTAAAGTCCATAGTTGACGTGAAAGTTCATTTGGTCTTTTAAATGTGTTTTGACAAATGTGTGATGATATGTATTCACCATTAAAGTATAATGTAGAATACTGCTACAGTTTTTTGGTTTGTTGTTTTTTGTGGTACTGGTATTGAATAAGGTTCAATGGTTCCAAGGTTCCAGCATGCTTGGCAAATGCTCTACAACTGAACTACATCTCCAGCTCTTAGGGCCATAGTTTCAATGTAATTTATAAAGGTTCACTGTTTAGAAACTTTTTTTTCTTTTTTTGGTACTAGGGATTCAACCCAAAGGCACTTAACCACTGACCCACATCACCAGCCCTTTTTCTTATTTTTTATTTTAAGATGGGGTCTCACTAAATTGCTTAGGGCTTTGCTAAATTGCTGACTTTGAACTTGTGATCCCCCTGCCTCAGCCTCCAGTCTCTGGACTATAGGCATAAGCCACCTCACCCAGAGCCTATTAGAAACTTAATAACAGTGTTTGGAGATTGGGGCCTTTGGAAAGTAACTAGAATTATTTTTATCTTATTTTTTTTGAGTACTAGGGGTTGAACTCAGGGGCACTCGACCACTGAGCCACATCCCCAGCCCGATATTGTATTTTATTTAGAGACAGGGTCTCACTGAGTTGCTCAGCGCCTCGCTGTTTTTGAGTCTGGCTTTGAACGCTTGATCCTCCTGTCTCAGTCTCCAGAGCCACAGGATTACAGGCGTGTGCCACAGTGCCTGGCAATAAGTTACTTTCAATTCCTGTTTCTTCAAAAAATGTTTCTGAGTGCTTACTACTTGGGAAGAACTGTGCCATACACCAGGATGTAAAATAAAACAAAACACAGTATGTATTTTCAAAGAGGAAAGAACCCAGTTGGGGAGAAACATAAATCTACAACCATAGTATATAGCAGTAGTAAATATGAACCAGAGTTATGCAAATGACAAAGAAGGGAAATCCTTGAATCTTAAAAAATGTGCAGTAATTATCTAGATCAGGTAGTTTGGTATGGCTGGAATAAAAGGTGTGGAATAAGACTGGACAAAGCAGTGGTTCTCATGCTTCAAAATGCCACAGTCACTTGGGAGGCTTGTTAAATATGGACTCTTCAACTCCCACTTTCAAAGACAGTGACAGTAGGATTGGGCTATGACTAGCAATGTGATTGCTGTGACAATTCCAATTATTCTGATAGTCAGAAAGGTGGGTAAAACACTAAGAAACTTAGAGAGCTCAAAAAGGAGAACCTTCGCATGACCTGGGAAAGGTGAACTCATTTTTACATTAGTTACAACAAGCGGAGGAAATGTCAGTGTTCACCAAAGCAAATCAAAGAAAATACATTTGGTTGGTCAAAGTCAAAAGTCTCTAGTTACAGGATGGGATTGTGGCTCAGTGGTAGAACACTTGCCTAGCATGTGTGAGGCACTGGGTTCGATTCTCAGCACCACATATATATAAATAAAAAAACAAAGGTCCATTGACAACTAAAAAAAAAAAGTCTCTAGTTAAAGGTTATTTAGTGGTTTCTGAGAGAGTAAGTATTTTCTTTCACTGTTTATATTGGGCTTTTGTTTGCTTACATAAAAAAACCCCAAAGCACTAGAGCCCTAGGTGCTAGAGATGTTCAAATTAATGGTGTTCCAGTTAATGTGTTTTTGTACTGGGAACTAAACTCAGGAGTGCTTGATCATTGAGCCACATCCCCAGCTCTTTTTTTTTTTTTTTTTAATATTTATTTTTGAGTTTTCGGTGGACACAACATCTTTGTTTGTATGTGGTGCTGAGGATCGAACCCGGGCCGCTCGCATGCCAGGCGAGCGCGCTACTGCTTGAGCCACATCCCCAGCCCATCCCCAGCTCTTTTAATTTTTTATTTTGAGACTAAGTTCTCGGGACCTCAATTATATGGAAAAAAAAAAAATTCTCGGGACCTCATTAAATTGCTGAGGCTGATCTCAAACTTGTGATTTTCCTGCCTTAGCCTCCTAAGTCACTGGGATTAAAGGTGTGCATCACCACACCCAGCTCCAGTTAATTTTTTGAAATAGTTATAAATTTTAAAACATGTTAAAGGCATTGTCTTGGCCTGTTTGATCTTTCTGTGGTCTTTGAGTATCATATGATGAATCTGTTCTGTACCCCAACCAACTATCTTGAGAATGTTTTAAGCTCTCTTTTATGGAGGAACAATAGTCCAGAAAACCTAAATTCAGATTTTAGGATTTTTAATCTGAGAGTTATCTAGAATATTGGAGGAATGCAAATTAGTCTAAACTAAGACACTCAGTAAAATGTTCAGATACATCTTGGAACTTCTTCAGTGCTAATGGAAGGTGTATTTTATCTTAAGATATTTACAGATTTGAGGGGTAAGATCACAGGTAAGGTCTGAAGCCAAATTCTTGGGAACAGGTTATAGAAGACTTTGACAGCCAGAGTTTTTATTTTAACTTCCTTGGCAAACTCTTTAATCTGAATAAGCTCACTTCTACCAATGAAAAATGAGAAATGTATTTCTTATCTCATTGAGTTGTTGTTAGATTAAGTAAGATAGTATTGTTCCTGGATAATAGTTAACACTAAATAAATGTTAACTGTCAAAACCTTCAAATTTTTCAGGTCTTCTGTATGCAACTTGCTTCTTACAGCCATAATCCATTTGGAAAAAGATGTCAACAGGACTATAAAATTTGTAATCCTAGGAAAAGCCTATAAAAATTCCATCTTTTAATCTTTTTTAAATTTCCTAGTTAAAAGTGGCTAACATTGACAGTCAATTTTTTAAAAATTTACAAAACTAAAAGCAGTATGTAAAACTACCTAATTATTCCCTTCCTTTCCAAACCCATAGTCAGGGGAAGAAAATCATACCTATTCATGGTGTCATTTTTTTCCAGGTTTTTTTTAAGTGCAGTTGACAGTTGCATCCTGAGAAGGAAAAAGCCTGTATTATCAAATGTGGATAACATTTATGATACATTAAAAACACATGTTAAAGATGGATTTTTAACACAAGTTAAAGATGGATTTTTCTTAAGATATATGTAAAATGTAAGTAGATTTTTAAACAGCATTCCAAAAGAAATACTTTGAGGAATAAAATAGAAACGTGAAATAATGCCAAGATGAACAGGGCTGTAGCACATAGTTGTGCATTGTGAGGCTGAGGCCAAGTGAGTCTGAATCCATCTTGAGCTGGATGAGTTCTCTACACCATCCACTTTGGTGGGATCAGCGTGGGTCTGAAATGGGGACACTTAGAAAAATACAAAACCATGTTTGACCATAAACTTTAAAACATGCTGCTGTAAATTACTTTTAAACTCAAGTAGCTAATAATAAAAAGGCAATCAACTCAGCAATAGCAGCTTAAAAAAAAATCTATGTAATCCTTTCAAACACCAAATGAGATTTAATCTCATATTTCTATTTTCTTAAATGAAGTTTCCTCATTAACTGTATCCTACATAACTTCTTCAAAGGAAGATATTAAGGAACAATGTAACTTTTCTCTCAGGGTTCAAAATTTGTAATAATCATCATTTAACTAATGATTGACTAATTCATTTAATCTTGTTTAAAAATTCTTTCCACCTTGAACCCATAACCATTTTTTATTCAGTTCATAATGCCTACATTAAAAATGTAATAATTAGAGGGACTGGGCAGGATGAAAGGTTAAGCTAGGCAGACAGAAGAGGAGTGGGAGAGGCCAAGCGGCATGGAGCTGGGGTAGCTCCATGAGCCCTTTGTGCATTGTAGATTAGTGCTTCAAATGAACTGGTGATGAACACCATCTCCCCCCACTTGTAGGAGGTTGGCCACGTGAAGATCCAGCTGTATATGGACAGCCAAAAACTTTAGGTAGTTCTGCACTAGAGTACAGAAAACATGAGGTGCCAAAAGGATACAAAGGGAGCACCTTCCACAGGGTTATAAAAGACTTCGTGATTCAGGGTGGAGATTTTGTTAATGAAGATGGTACTGGAATCGCCAGTATTTATCTGGGGCCATTTGCAGCTGAAAATTTAAAGGTAGGCACTCAGCTCCAGGCCTTTCCATTGCAAACAGTGGTCCCAGTATAAATGGTTGTCAGTTCTTTATCACCTGCTTTAAGTGTGATTGGCTGGATGGGAAGCATGTAGTGTTTAGAAAAATCATTGATGGACCTCTCATGATGAGAAAGATTGAGAATGTTTCCACAGGCCCCAACAGTAAGTCCAAGCTGCCTGGGGCAATCTCATAGTGTGGGGAGATGTAGACCAGACTGACTGAATCGGTGTTAAGAATCAAAACCCAGGACTTGCTCATGCTAGGTAAGTGTTCTGCTACAGAGTTATATCCCCAGCTCCGAAGGTGCTATTTGAATGACTGAGGTATAGAAGACACTATCCCCCATTCTGGAATTACCTGAAGACATACATTCCTGTAGGGAAAGATTATGCAAGATGTGTTGGTGCCAGTTAAGCTTGAACTCCATTCATTTCATAAGGAACTAAAGGTCGGACTGATGTCAAAGAGCTGGACTGGTTTTACCCTCATTCTGGAGAAGTGTAGAGGAGAGCTGGAAGCATTATTTATCATGGAATGTTGCCTTTCTGTTCCCTTGGGCTGCTTATCTCCCCATTCTCAGCTGACCTTGCGTTTTCTGCCATTTCAGATTGTCCCTTGCTCTGAGTAATATTCTTGAGTCAGAGAAGCTGGACTGGCCTTTGTGTTTGCTCTCCTGCCTGATGTGATGTGACCCCATTTGATCAAGAGACCCTGGAAGTTTCAGATTCAGAATCACGATTGTCTGTGTTTAAAATTTCAACTGTAAATAAAGGTTTTTGTGTGGGGGGGTTAAAAAAAAAAAAAAACAGACACAATTACCTGGCTAATGCAAGATTTTTCATTTCAAGAGCAGTTTTTACCTCTTCAATTTCATTTTCTAGGTCTTCAACTTTACTATTAAAGGAACACGAACAAAATTATTTCAGCAACATCAGAAAAAGTCAATTGAAATAAGTATGTAAATTAAGACTTTGAAAAAAGCAAAGCACCTCTATTGGAATAGAAATATTCTTCAAGCTCAACTTATCTATACATATTTACAGATTTGGTAAACTGATACTTTCTGAGTTACTTGCATAGTATCTTATAAAAGGGAATGCCAGTGTACACTCATCTACATGTAAGTTTTCATTCCACATTAACAATTTCCTGATAAATGCATGACATGTTATTTGGAAAAAAATAAATAAAAGAAAAAAGAAAGACAATTCTATAACATGGATAACATGATTAATTCTTAGTAAAAACCACAAATAAAATTTTAAAATATGACATACGCTTCAATTTGGTTTTCTTGAATGATTTGTTCTGGAGTTTTTTCTTCATCTACAAATAAATAATTTTTTGAAGTCAGTAATAGTTTAGAACAGTGCTGTTCAAAAGGAATGTAATATAGGGGCTGGGGATATGGCTCAAGAGGTAGCGCGCTCGCCTGGCATGCGTGCAGCCCGGGTTCGATCCTCAGCACCACATACAAACAAAGATGTTGTGTCTGCCGAAAACTAAAAAAATAAATATTAAAAAATTCTCTCTCTCTCTTTCTCTCACTCTTTCTTTAAAAAAAAAAAAAAACACAAAAGGAATGTAAAATAAACTATGACTGCAAAAGGGTAATTTTATTTATTTTTTTGGTCTTGGGGATCAAATGTTAAGCACATGTTCAACCACTGAACTATACTCCCACTCCCCAGAGAAGTAATTTTAAAAATCAGCTACCATTCAGCAACTTAGTGAAACCTTATCTCAAAACAAACAAACAAAAAAAGGTCTAAGGATGTAGCTCAGTGGTAAAATGTTCTGGGTTCAATTCCCAGTAATCCTCCACCTCCACCCCCCACCTCCCGCCAAAAAAATCAAGTTTCATATTACAAAAATAATGAGAAACAAGTGATATTATTTTTCCCCCCCTTTTTTTTGGTACTGGGGATTGAACCCAGGGCACTTAACCACTGAGCCACATTCCCAAGTGATAATTTTTTTTTTTTAAAGAGAGAGCGAGAGAGTGAGAGCGAGAGAATTTTTTTTAAAAAATATTTATTTTATTTCTTAGTTTTAGGTGGACACAATATCTTTATTTTACATTTATGTGGTTCTGAGGATCGAACCCAGTGCCTCATGCATGCTAGGTGAGCACTCCACCACTGAGCCACAACCCCAGCCCCGAGAGAATTTTTTTAATATTTATTTTTTAGTTATCGGCGGACACAACATCTTTGTTTGTATGTGGTGCTGAGGATCAAACCAGGGCCGCACGCATGCCAGGTGAGTGCGCTACCGCTTAAGCCACATCCCCAGCCCCCCAAGTGATAATTTTAATGTAGTTATTTAGCTTGATAAAACCAAAATTTTATTTTAGCATGCAATTACTTTAAAATTACTAATGAAACATTTGACATTCTTTTTTTACATTTATAGCCCATTTCAATGAGGACTAGCCACATTTCAAGAGCTGCACAGAGTTAGTGGTTAACATATTGGACAGACCAGTTTTAGAATGATAAAAATAAAAAGGAGTAAAAAATGAATAAGGTATTTAATGTAAAAAAATCAAGTGTGGGAGACTGGGGGTATAGCTTAATGCTGGAGTGCTCAGCTAGCATATGCAAAGCCCTGAGTTAGTTTGATCCCCAGCCCTGGAAAAAAAATCAAATGTAGGTCTACATATTAGCAACAAGTAGATATTCAAATTAAAAAATTATCATGAACAATGGCATTCAACACCATGAAACATAAGGATAAGTTTACGAAACTATGACCTCTGCACTAAACACTACTAACTACCCAAATGGATAGACACACAATGTTTATACATTAAGAGAAACCATAGTGCTAATATAACAGTTTTTCTCACACTGATGTTTAGATCCCATTCAAATGCTATTCAAAATTATTTTTTTGGGGGTAGAAATTAATAAACTAATATTAAAATGTATGTAGAAAACCAAAGGATCTAGAATAGCAAAACAATTTTGGAAAAGGACCACCAAGTTGGAGGACATATTGTAACTGATATCAAGACTTACTATGAAGCTACATCAATCAAGACAGTGTGGTACTTGTATAAGGACTTTCCATGATGATGGAAAAGTTTTATGTCTATGATGTCCAACAGAGTAGCCACTAGCCCCATGTGGCTATTGAGCATTTGATATGTGACTAGTACAACTAAAGAATTTACTTGTAAATTCAAATTTTAATTAACTTAAAAACCCACATGTGCACTGACAGGAGGACTGCTAGTTCAAAGCCAGCTTCAGTGGTTTAGTGAGGCCCTAAGCAACTTTGTGAGACCCTGTCTCTTATAAACATAATACAAAATAGGGCTGGGAATGTGGCTCAGTGGTTGAGTGCCCCAGAGTTCAATCCCCAGTACCAAAAAACAAACAAACAAACAAAAAAAACATTCACATGGTGCTAGTGACTACTCTGCTGGACAACACAATTCTAGAAGAAAAATCAAACTGATCAATCGTTACTGGGGTTTAGAGGGGGGACTGACCATGAAGTGGCACAGAGAGTCTTTTGGTACAAGAGAAATGTTTTATATCGCAATTGTAGCAGTTACACAGATGCATGTGTTTGTCAAAATTCATCAACTTATACTCTTAAAATAAATGCCTTTATTGTAAAAATAAAAATAAATCCTTTAATCAATTAAGTCAGTAATATTTTTTACTTTTAATTTTTAATTTTGTGTGTGTGCTGGGGATCAGTCTTATGGTCTTGAAAATGGTAAGCATGTGCTCTATCAATAATATACTTCCATGTAGCATCTTTTTAAAATATGATACAAGAATCATTTCATATAATATCTTTGTTTTTCTTTTTGATACTGGGTGTTGCTATGTTGCTCAGGCTGGGCTCAATTTGCAGTTCTCCAACCTTACCCTCCCAAATAGCTAGGATTAAATATCTTCTTTCTCTCTTTTTTCCTAAATTTTTTCCCTCTCATTTATTTATTTATTTAAAAATATTTTTTAGTTGTTAATGGACCTTTATTTCATTTATTTTTATGTGGTGCTGAGAATCGAACCCAGTGCCTCACACAGGCTAGGTAAGCACTCTTCCACTGAGCTACAACCCCGGCCCCTATTTATTTATTTTTTTAAGATTTTTTTTTTTTTGTAGTTGTAGATGGACACAATACCTTTATTTAATTTATTTATCTTTATGTGGTGCTGAGGATTTAACCCAGGGCCTCAAATGTGCTAGGCAAGTGCTCTGTCACTGAGCTACAGCCCCAGCACCTTTCCCATTTATTTTTACTAATTTATCATAATTACCATAATGGTGGGACTCATTATATATTTGTACATGCATACAATATAACAATATGATTTGGCCAATATCATTCTCCAGTACTTCCCCTTTCCCTTCTCTCCTCCCTTCCCCTGGTCTCTTTCCTTTACTATACTGATCTCCCTTGATTTTCATGAGATCTCCACCCCCCAACCCATTTTTTTCCTCCCCAGCTTCCACATATGAGAGAAAATATATGACCCTTGACTTTCTGAGTTTGGCTTTAAGTATCCACTTTCAAAGATTACAATGAAACATCCTGTGTGGCCTGCTTTAAATCTGTCCTCTCCTTTAATTGTAGTAATTTTATAGTATGGACTATTAAACCACCCAAATTTTCTGATGTTTTAATGAAATTATCTCACAGGGAAAACAAGGACTATAAGAAAAGGGGGATTCATCATTTGGATTACCTCTAAAACCATCTTCTCAGAGAAGACATACCTAGCACCCTGTCTAATGTAGTCTCTCTCTCTCTTATTCCATTATTCCTTCCTTACAAGTACCATACTTTACCTTGCATGTCTCTTTGTTTACTTGTTTTGCTACACTAGAATATACATAAATAAATTTTTATAAAGTTGATTTTCTTTTCCCTAGAGTAATATTCATCATCAAACTCCCAAAACTTTATTTGAAAATGAAATTACTCACATGCATCAACCATTGACTTATATTCTAAGAGTTGTTGTTTTGTCTGTGCTCTCAGCCTGAAAACAAAGAAAACAGAAAGTCATCTATTATGGATTGAGGTTTTACTCATGGTCATACAATAAACAAATTTATCTTCACTAAAAGCTGATATAACAAAATGAGCATAAATAAAGAAACTCAGCATTAAAGTCTTTCAGTTTGTCCTCATATTATTTAAAATAGGCACAAGGAACTTTAAGGCCTCAGAGTAAGACACAAAATTAAATATAGTGGGAAAACAGCATCTGTGAGAAAAAGTTTAAAATTTACTTTTAAAATTTATTCTTAATAAGCTAGACAGAAATGGGGCTTAATGAAAACTGCTGCGTACACACACACACACACACACACACACACATGCACGCACACAAATGTAGACCATAGCGATGAAACCTAAGAACACTGTAATCAGTTTACACATAAACATTATAACATTCTCAAAAAATAGAGAAAAACACAAAAATACTATTCCATGAACAATTAAATAATTCATAGAGAAAAGTTTCTTAGTTCTATTATTTTCCTTAATCCAAAAATCAAACATAAAATAAATAGAAAAGCTATGGGCAAAATGATAGTTATTAAGTTGTATTTACAAAACACATTTGCATGATAGTTGCATAATTCTGAAACTGTATTGAGACTTTGGAGACCTATTTAATTAGCTAAGAGACATTTGACAAATTCCTAAAACTCTATGGCAAATTACTAATGTTTCAAAATTCCAAATAAAAAGAGCAATTTCTTAAAGGTAAGTAGACTAGCATTCTATAAGATACACTGAAAGAATAATTCCTTTCTTAGCTGAAATGAAAAAAAAATCTTACATTTGTAATATTATTTTAATTGTGGGCAGGAGAAAATTTTTACAGTACTGGAGATTGAACCTAGGAGCACTATGCCAATGAGTTACATTCCCAGTCCTTCAACAAAATACAGCATCTCCCTAAATTGCCTCAAATTTTCGATCCTCTTGCCTCAGTCTCCCTCCAGAGTAGATGGGATTATAAGGATGTTCCACTAAGTCAGGATGTGGCTCAATGGTAGAGTGCTTGACTGGCATGCAGGAGGCCCTGGATTCTATTCCCAGCACAGCTTAAAAATAAAAGAAAAACAATAATAACAAACAAAATCAAGGGTGCTCCACTATACCCAGTTTTGGAGGGAATGTTAAAAAGGAGGGTGTAAAATTTATTGAGTAGTCAAGACCTTTTGAAGCAATGTAAAGCTAAAATATAACAACAATTCTTAAGGCAAAATACCCTTGTTATGATTTAGAATAAAGGTCTACAGGGCTGGGAATATAGCTCCAGTGGTAGAGCACTGGCTTGGCACATGGGCAAGGCCTTAGGTTCAATCCCCAGCACTACCAGGAAAAAAAAAAAGGACCACTCAGCAAATAGTTTACACTTTGGGAGTCCTATGGTCTGTCTTAAGGGCTCAGCTTCACCCTTGTAATGGGAAAGTCGTCTTCCAGTAAAACTTTACTTATGAGTGCTGAAATCTAAATTTCATATAATTTCCATGTGTTATGAAATATTGTGATTTCCTGCCAACCATTATATATATATATATATATATATATATATATATGCACACACACACACACACACATATATTTAGTTGTCAATGGACCTTTAATTTTTTATTTATATGCAGTGCTGAGAATTGAACCCAGTGCTAGGCAAGCCCTCTACCACTGAGCCACAACCTCAGGGTGTCCCCCACAACCATTTAAATGGGGAAACATAATATTTTTCTTCTTCTTTTGGTACTAGGGATTGAGACAGGGTCTTGCTAAGTTGTTTAGGGCCTCCCTAAATTGCTGAGGCTGGCCTCAAATTTGCAATCCTTTTGTCTTCGCCTTCTGAGTTGCAGGCATGCATGACAAAATATTCTTAGTTTCAGAGGACGAGGACAAACACACAAACACACACACACACACACACACACACACCACAAAAACAAAAAAACCTGCAGGGTGGATATGGCCCAGGGCCTTAGTCAGCCCACTTTTTTTAGAAGATTGATGTCTCTTGTCATCAAATCTTCCCTACCAACTGTTTAATGGAAAAGCACAAACCAATCCTCTTGGTACGCATAACAAATGAAGCTTTAGAACTACAAAGGGTCAAGGCCATAAAAGAAAGGGGTGGGCGAGATCTGAAACCTTGCAACTGGCTTTTTGGGGGCAACGTCGCCTACAGCTGCAGCCTCTTGGCATCCAGCATGCTGGGAGTCTCCCTAGCTGACTGCTGGAACTCTCAGAGAGGACATCAGACAGCAGCTGCTACTGGCTCTTGGGTGGGGCCTTAAAGTCCCAGGGAGGTGCCTCTGGATGGCTAGGGCACCTCAGGTTTCAGTGACATCCGGAAGATCCAGGACAAGGCCTGGGCCCACATTCCCAGAAGCCAAAAAAAGCAGACTGGGAGGGACAATGGAAGGATCCACATGTGCACTAGCAGAACTGGGGGAGACCTCTCCAGACTAGAAGCATCGTGGTCAAAATTTATCAAGTGTTTACCATCTATTAGGTACTCATCTAAAAGAAGTTAAGATGGGGCTGGGGCTGTAGCTCAGTGGTAGAGTGCTTGCCTAGCTTATGTGAGGCACTGGGTTTGATCCTCACTCAGCACCACATAAAAATAAACAAATAAAATAAAGTGTGCATCTACAACTAAAAATATTTTAAAAAGTTAAAATTTATCAAATTATGTTATGTGCATGTATGAATATGTTACAATGAATCCCAGTAGTACATATAATTATAATGCAGCAACAAAAACAATTTTTTTTGAAAAGGGGTGGGACATCTTCTTTCCTGTATTTGGCCTGGGTGTTGTCCCTCATCTTTTTTTTTTTTTTCCTAAGAGAGAGAGAGAGAGAGAGGGAGAGTTTTTTAATATTTATTTTTTAGTTTTTCGGTGGACACAACATCTTTATTTTATTTTTATGTGGTGCTGAGGATCGAACCCAGCGCCCCGCGCATGCCAGGCGAGTGCGCTGCCGCTTGAGCTACATCCCCAGCCCCTGTCCCTCATCTTGCCAGAAAAATTGGGAGCCCCAGGGCGTGAGCTGGGAGAAAGGGTGGGGAAAGTTGCAGCTCCGAAGGAGCTTCCTAAGGACTCTGGGCTGAACACTTCCAGAGGGTCTCAATTAAACACCCTTAGCATCTCTCCCAGGAGGGTGTCAATTTCTCTACTTTTCGCAGAAGAAAGACACTAAAGAGTTTAAGTGAATATTGCATTGAGTAACGAAGCCATTAAGTGACCGCGTCCAATTTCGAACCCTGGTCTTACAGAGGAGAAAGGAGAGGAGCCCTGAGCCCGGGCGCCCACTCGGCTCCGAGGAGGCGGCGGGAGGGAACAACCTGAGCAGCAGGGTCATTCGGTCGTCGCTGCGTGCCTCCTGGGAGCCGGCGACCTGCGGCAGCCCGCCTGCCCCTCCGGAGTCCGCCGACTCTGCGGCAGTTTGCTCCTGGAATTGCCGCTCCATTGCCGACACGAAGACACCGTTGGAGAAGTAATGCGGTTCTGAAGGGGCCGCTTTTCCCGCCACGAATTCGATACCCGGAAGGAGCCTTGAGCCCCGCCTCTTCCGCCCCAGGGCCATACCCCCTCCCGCCCTCCGGTTGCTGAGATTACTGTATATTTAGAGTTAGATTTCCTGCTGGTCCAGTCAGTCGAGCTCGCTATGGACCAGGAGCCACGAACTTGGCTGGTGGTGTGACTCAGTGGTAGAGCTTGTCTCTTGTGCGCGAGACCCTGGTTCTATCTCCAGCACTGTGACATAGGAATGGGGATAACTCTTCATTGCTCCACCTCGGCACTGCTAGTCAGTAGAATTGGAAAGCTGGCCAGCGGGATGGGAAAGATAAACTTTGGAGAGTGCTTTGGATTTTTTTTTTTTTTTTATCGTGCTCAGGAATCGAACCTAAGGCCTAGGCATGTGAGACAAGGCTGCACCACTGACCCGCATTCCATTCCCCTAGAAGGATTTAAATCTGAGGCCGTGAGGTGCATACCCCTCGTTTACCAGAGAAATGAGTAGTTCAAGTTTTAAGGTTACCCAAACCCCCCAAGTACAAAGCACTGCAGGCACATGAACCCCAGACTTTCAGTGTGGCCACTTGCACTTTCAATTCCTTGCATGGGTACTTCATTGTGCTATCAAGTAGGATTCCCACCACTCCTGATAATTGGGTGCCCCCAAGTGTCTGCTCTGTGACCGGGCAGGTTAGTTGAGCCATGAAGCTGAAGAAAATGCTGGCCATACATAAATGATTTGTAGTTTTTCACTGTAGTCGTGTAAGGCACATTTGTCCCTGATGCAAAAGCACAAAACCTCTTCGAAAAGGGGGCCAGATAAAAAATGTTCAACATCATTAACAATTGGGAAAAAAACAAATCAAAACTACATTGAGATTTCATCTCTCACCACTCAGAATGGCAGGGGAAGTGCTGAGGAATGGTATTGGCTTATTAATATTGTTATATAAATTGCGTTTATGTACGAATATGTAACAACACATTCCATCACTGTGTACAACAATAATGCACCAATAAAATATGTGGAAAGCGAAAAAAGAGTTGAGAATTCTTATAGCTACAGCAGTTCCCAGTTAAACTTGACCACACAGTACTTTCCCTCCTATATCTAATAAAGCTCCTGGTATTAATTTCCTTGGCTTTTGAACTGAAAATTCAAAATGCGTAATAGGGGGCTGGGGATGTGGCTCAAGCAGTAGCTCGCTCGTCTGGCATGAGCGGGGTGCTGGGTTTGATCCTCAGCACCACATAAAAAAAAAAAGGCATAGTAGGATGTAAAAGAAGGCATTAGGCTTGCTAATCCTACCCCCAAACTCATGGAACATTCTGTTTCCTTTAATTAAGTTTGTTTTATAAAAATGTGATCCTACAGGATGTAATCCCAGATATTTGGGAGCCTGAGGCAGGAGAATCTGCCTGAGGCCAGCCTAGGAAATTTAGCAAGATCTTGTCTTACAAGAAACAAAAGAATTATGAATGTTGCTAAGTGGTAGAGTGCTTCTGGGTTCAAGTCCCAGTACAAAAACAAAAACAAAATAAATACAAATAAAAATTAGTGATCCTATTGTTCTTTTTTCACTTAACCATTTATCCAAACTGCCTTCCGATATTTCATCTCAAATCCCCTTTTTGCAAGCAGTTAGTTGCCCATCAGGTTATCCACTGGCTAGATTTGGAACAAAAATCATGCAATGGTTCTTCAACCAGAGAATGCATCAGATTATGGGGAGGGATGCTTCTAGTACTATGATTTGCATTTCTACAAGTTCTCAGGTTAAGTTTTGGTTGCTGATTTGGGATGGAACTTAAACAATCACCTAGGGAATGGATCATGGCGCAACCCATTTAGCTCCATTGTCCCAGTTGTAGAATACCTATAACTGGTATATAATATATAATGATTAATAATTATAATAATTAATGATATGTAAGAACTGGATTATTACTTCCAACCTACTTTATTTTTTGGTACTTAGAATCTAACCTAGGGTGGCATTACCACTGTACTACATTCCCATCCATCTTTAGTTTTTGAGACAGGGACTCATTAAGTTGCTGAGGCTGGCTTCACAGTTGGAATCCTCCTGTCTTGACTTCTTGAGTCTCTGGGATTACAGGCATGTGCCACTTGACCACTGAGCCACATCCCCAACACTATTTTTCATTTTATTTAAAAACAGGGTCTGAGTTGCTCAGTGCCTTGCTATTGCTGAGGCTGGCTTCAAACTCATAATTCTCCTGTCTCAGCCTCCTGAGACCCTCAGTGAGACCCTGTCTAAATTTATAAAAGAGCTAACGATGAAGCTCAGTGACAGAACACCCCTGAGTTCAATCCCTGGCACTGAAAATAAATTAATAAATGGTTTACTAAAGTATAGACCTAAATGAGAAAAATTAGCTTTAGAAATTGTTCATGGTTTGGGAATGATCTTGACCTTAAGACTTCAGAAGCAACCCCGCCCCCACACACACAAAAACAAACAAACAAACAAACAAACAAAAAACAGATTTGGTTATGTGAAAACTTCCTGCATGGCAAGACAGCATAAGGCAAATGAGAAGCTCAGAAAGCCTTCCACATTGATAAGACAATTTATTCAACTTGCCATCAGAAATTCAATTAAAATAACAAATAATATATATATTTTTTTGCCAGTTGAAGACCTTCAATTCTAACAATGAGGCAAAGAAAACCAGCACATTTGCATGATACCAAGAAAGTATCTGGCTCTGCCTGTCACAACTTAAAATGCATACTCTCACAGGACAATGGCTGAATACACTGCAGTACATCCTTACCACATAATGTGATGCACAAATCCAGGAAGGCCTGTATACAGTTGAAGAAAACTTCTATGTACAGAAGAAACCTATTAAAAAAAAATCTCCATAACAACTTAAATGTCTGTCTTTATTTATACAAGGAATGGAAGAATACATTCCAGACCTTTGATGGGATTGAGAAGGGAGGGGTAAATTACCTTTTTCTTAACAAGATACTCTGTATGTTTTGAGCATCCTGTTTGTTAAACCAATAAACAATGATAAATACATAACATGAAAACAAGGTTTATAATGTAAATTAAAATTCTCATTTTTCAAAGTGAAAACATTAAAAAAAAACTATTAAAGTTGACAGCTCAAAAATAATGGTTAAAGTAAATCACTTAGGGCAGAAAACCTCAGAATAAATAAATAAAACAGAAGGACTAGGGATGAGGTGGCAGTTTTTTATATTTAACATAGAACTAGGCAGAAGATTCTCCAAGCTGATTTGGCCCACATGTGGTATCCCATACTTTTACCACCTCATAAAAAAGCAAATACCAGGTATATATAACAAGTATATTAACACATAGGCAACAATTATATGCATCACTTGGATCCCCTGGTAAACTGAAAGCAGTTTTAAAAAATATTCCCCACCATCCTTTTAAGACAACTTTCAGGTTACCCACGAATAGGAAGCAACCACATTAAAACGAGTTAAACTATGAAAAATAAAAAGGGCCATGACCTTTATTTAAAAGTATGTAAAGGTAGTATAATATGTACAGGTGGCACATGGTGCCAATTTTATTTGCAGATATAGTATTCCAACTCAAATTTGCAAGTTACACCTTTGCCACAGCCTTAGCTAAATCTTGAACTAGTGCAGAATTCAGCTGTGCTAGAGTGCTGATCTTTGCATGTTTAGATGTAGCATACTTGTTCTTGATAGTCTGGAAGAGAAATAGCACAGTAATTACACTGGGAAAACAAAAATTTACAATATCCAATGGTATAGGATTCATTTAAAAAATCAACGCTTTGGGCCTGAGGTACAGCGCAGAGGTAAAACAACAGCAGCAACCCAAAACACCTAACATGATCTCCTTAAAAATAAATTATGAATTTGCAGGCAGTAAATCTGAATTATTCTCATTTTCTCAACATCTCATCATTGATTTGACTTACCATATGCTTTGTAAGCCCTTGATTCACCATGACTATATTCTTAGCCAGGTGCTGCATAACAGGAAGAAGAGACTCTTCAGTATATGACAGGTAATGCTGTAGAATTGGTGTCTAAGACAAAAACAAAATGTCAAAAACGTTCAACCTGAAACAAAACCCACTTATCAATGGACTTCTTATTACAAATGTCTATACAACTTTTCATAAAGTTTCTAGATGTTAGTCAAGAGGGGTAGGGGGACACATACTATATGACTAATTTTAATTAAAATTTAAGACAAGTTTGAGCCTCTTTCTTCCCCAGTTTCTCTTTCAGGCTTCTGTAGAAACCTCTGCTCAAATCTCATTACACTAATGTAATTGCTGGGTTGTCCACCCCAAAGCTAGATTCCAAGTTCCTTGAGGCTGAGTTTCTTATTCATAGCTCTATTTCTAAGGTTTAGGGTAGTACCTGACACACGATGGGAGAAATATTAGTTGAATCAATGAATTTCCAGTTTATTACGAATGAATTTCCAGTTATGTCATTTGACAGAGTTTCTACATATATAAAGGGTAACAGCTACTATGTCTTTCTCAAAGGGTTTATGGAGATTAAATTCAGTAAACAAATGAGAGCATTCTACCAAGATGACATCATAAACAAATTATTTTTAGCATTCCTTCTATAGATTCTATATTTAGGAACCAGTGGAAATGACAAAATTCTGTATTCAAACATCATTTACAATTTAAAAGCTTCGGAGTTCTGTGAGATAGAGCTTACCCATTCACCATTGTCAAGAATTTTCAGTGCTAAGCAAAAAGCTCCTGCTGCAATTTGAGAAGGAGGAAAGTGCACCATATCATAGTCCAACATAGTTAGTTCCATCAGGTATTTAGCCAAAGTATGTTGCTCAACATCAACCTAGAACAAAACCCACTTATCAATGAACTTATTACAAATGTCTACAAGTTCTCAAATGCAATTGCCCATAAAAAGCTTCATAATGATATTAATATGTAACCTGATTATAAATAAAAAACATCTTTATCCCTTCCCAAACGTCATTAG